TACTGAGATAGTAGTATATTATAAAATAAAAGTAGCTTAAGAACTCAGATCATTGTATCTGTCATTCAGTGAGTTTATAGATAGTTATAAAGTACTTGAGATTCTTATAATCTGTGATTATCTCAAATTTGAAGACACTTCAGAGTTAAGAGTCTCATTCTTGTAGACAGTATACAATTGTAAGAAGTTTCTTATCATAGATCTCATAGTTGCATTCAGCAGAACTCAGTTTCTTAGACATGAAAGCATATAATTATAAGACATTATTATTATTATATTGCAATATAGCTCTCTCTATAATATGTAGAATAGTTGAAGGTTGTATTGATAGATCTATCTACAAGAACATAATATAGTGATGAGTCATGTGATCTGGTGGAATTGCTAACCGCAACAGCTGTAACAGTCAACACCCCCTCTCAAGATAACAAGAATCACATACAAAAACACTCAAATCATCAAGATAGTCTGTCAAAACCAAATACAAATGTAAAATTAAACATTCTCAACTTTTACATCTGTAAGACCTAGCAAAATCATGAATTGTGCAAATATCACAGTGTCTAGAGATTTAGTGAGTTCATTCACTATCATCTGAGTAGTGAGAATATATTCTAAATCAATAATCCTCTGATTCAACTGTCAACATGAAAAATGAAAATGTGTGTCAATGTGCTTGTTTTAAGCTGTAATGACTGCCATCTTTGTGAGATCTATGACACTCTTATTATCAGTGAGAATCTGTATTGAAGATGTAGTGATGAAGTTAAGCTCAATCATGAGGTTTCAGATTCATGTTGCTTTGTGAACCACCTCACTAAGAGCCACATATTCAGTCTCATTGAAACTTAGAAATATACAAGATTGCTTCACTGAATGTCATGAAATTAAGCTATCTGTGAGCTTAAAAATGTAGCTGAATATTGATTTCCTATCATTATTCAAGAGACTGACTCAATCAGAATCTGAGTAGCTGAAGAGCAGGTAGAAATCATCAGAAAAATTGAGAAGAATGAAAAGATCAGTAGAAACAGTCCTCTTATACAGGCCATGTCTGTAGAAAATGCTCAGATTCATGATTCTCTTCAAATAATGTATAATGTGTAATAGAGTCTTTCAATATTAAGATGTTGAATCAACATTCTGTTGAGCAAGTAGTAAGACAGTATAAGTGATATCAGAACATGTTTTAACTGCAAGATATTACAAGCAACTCACATCATGTTGATATCACTGAATTGTGAAATCAGTCTCTTTCTCAGATATAAAAGAATCATCAATACAGAATTCATTCTTCATTGATATTCTGACAACAGCTGTATTATCAAGATAGAAATCTTTAACAAGATATTTGATGTATTGACAATGTGTTAAATCAATTTCTTTGTCTAAACAGTTGACTTTCATACTCAAATACTTAATTGACTGATGTAGATTCTTGACTTTCAATTTCTCACTGAGTATACTCACTAGTCAATCAACATTCTCAGAAACTTCAGATATGATGTTAAGATCATCAATGTAGATTGTTATATAGAGATGATATCTGAATGTATGATATCAGAGTGCTGAATCATAGATGTTGACTGTAAATTCAAGATCACTCAACAGAGCTGTTAAGTAATCATATCAGATCTTAGCTGCAGGGTTCAGACTGTATAGACTACTCTCAATCATGCAGACAAGTGTTTTCAGTGAACCTGTCTCAAAGCTGATAAGTTGTCTTATATAGATCTTCTTAGTAAGACATTCATGAAGATATATCATCACTATATTTACTTGACAGAGTGTTCAACTGTGTAGTACTGCTATTGCAAAAAGAATATGATTGACAGTATCAGTGATGACAGAAGTGTAGATCTCTTCTCTAGAATTCTTCTTAAGTCAGTTATTATAAATCACTCAATGTGATTTTCTAAGAATATCATCAGAATCAGTATTCAGATCCACAGGTCTATCTTTCTCAAGAAACACTTAACAGTCTGAAGTAATCAGTTCATTTCTCAGAATATCAGATCTAGAGATTAAACTTCATGTATTGCATCTCTTCAGGTCAGTAATCTTGTATTGCATGAACTTCTTTCAATAATCTTCTATTCTCTTTGGCTAAGATGTGGCATTCTTGTAGAACTTCAGAAGGTTACCTGTAACAGAGCTTGAAGTGTAAGTAGCCAGCGATTTTGCGGGCTGCAATCATGTGAAATTCAGATTATCAATATCAGAAGCATCTTCATCATCAATCAGATAAATATCAGGTTTCAGTTCATTAGCATTATTAATGAGTGTCACAGATGTGACAATCAGTTTCAATTTTTCAGCAATTGAGAATCTCACATCACTACTGACAATAATCTTGTCAGATTCAGAATGCTATAGACAATATATCAATGTGTCACTGAATTCAATGATGTGATAGAAATCAGCACATGAAGAGAGCTTATTCACAGGCTTCTGAGATTCATGTAAGTGAACAAAAACCTCTGCATTCAATCAGTGAAAATGTCTCATATTCAGCAGGGTATTTGTAAGTACACATCAAGAAATCTTATATAAACTTGGAATCACAGAAGTCTCTGTGATAGAGAGTCAAAATTTTGAGTTATAAAGAACTGTAGATATAAGAGTATTATTAATTATTACAATCACTGTCTCTAGAACATCTGCTCAGAACTTCTTAGAGAGATTATCTTTCAAAAGAGCAGCTCTAATCTGTCTCATAATAGTGTGAATCTCATGTTCAGAAACATCATCCTGGTGTGGCAAATGTGATGCCATTGATTTCCATTTGATATCATATGAATCCATGACTGTGTGTATACATGTGGACTGAAAAACATCATCAATATCAGTTCATAGAAAAGCAGGGACTGTATATCTGAGATTATTCATGAATCTGAGCTACAACTCAAAGTATTGAACAGTCTCATTCTTGAACTTTAAAAAATATACTCAACAGTAGTGAGTCACATCACAGATGATAAGCATTCAGTATTTGATTCTCTGGCAGAACTCTAAGAGATGATCAGAGAGATCTTTCAATGTATATTCATCACCTGCAAGATCAATATGAATCTTCTCAATGAATTGAATAGATCTAGGCATCAGTGGTTTTAAATAATCTCATATCATATCTGTCTTAATACATTCTTCACAAAAGAACTTGGTCTTAGAATCTTTAATAGTGACTTCAGTATAGAGATCCTTGATCATAGCAATTATAGTATCAGTGTGAACATGACTGAGGTTATAATATCAATTCAAAAGAGTCTTTGATATATTTGATATCTGTGTTTTCACATCTGCAGAATCAATATTATTAACAGTAGTAACAGCAGTCACAGAAAGATCAACTTTTCAGTCAAAATCATACTCATGAGACATTATCACAATATACTTGACTACCTTGTTCAGATGATTGAAATCCTCATTGAACTTCTGCTCATAAATCTTATATATGTTGTTCTGAGTAGTCTGAACTGTATGAAAAATAACATCATTCAGAGCTCTACAAATGAAAAATGAGAGAATTATGAAAGATAATATAAATCAGAATTTCTGATCTTCAAGCTTTGCAAATGAGAGCAGGTTAACTGTAATATTAGAAATATAGTGAACATTCTGTAAGTTAACATTATTACTCTCAACCTTTAAGATGACAGTTTCAATCTTCTTGACAAACTCAGTTCTCTCAGTTGCAGAATCAACAGAGATGTTATCATTAAAAGATTTGATATTTGAGAAAGAATGAAGCTCATCTGTCATATTCAGACTTGCACATGTGTTCAAATATCAAGATCTAGAGAATGATTTTTCAGTGACTGTGAAAGAGAAATAGAACTCAATCTTTGTAATTACTGCATTTACTGCTGATTGAGAACTCATTAAGTCATTCTTCTTCTCTTTCTTCTTATCATCATTCTTCTTGTCCATCTTCTTTTTCTCTTTATCAGAGTGTAGAATGAAACATCTGTCAACAGTATATTCATGTCTTCTACATTGAGTGCACTTTCATACAGATATGCTTTTATTCTTATCTTTGTTCTTATTCTTTTTCACAGTCACAGAATTGATCTGAGACTGCTTTTTTCACTCAGTGATAATCTTCTTGAATGTACAATTGATCAGTTGCTTTATCAAATCATTAATATCAATGTTGACAATGAGTTTCTGATCAGTGAAGAAAAACTCATTCAAACATGTCTTGATAAACAGTCTTTGATAATCTTGTAAGTTGTTGAGAAAAAGATTATAATATATATTCTTCATGCTCTGACAGAGCTTCTTGTGACAGGTAATAAGATAGTGAAAATATCTCTGAAAAGTAAGATAATCATTATTCTTAACTTATAACTTTGTCAATTTCTTGAAGATATTAACTCATTCTTCAGTCAGTGATATCATATATTCAATATTGATCTTGTCTCACAGGGCTGCAGTATTGTCAGCTTTCAAGGTTTCAATAGTGATTCAAACATTTTCAATAAGACTTGATAGCATATGCCTATATAGAGACTTAGAACAGATCTTTCACTTCTCAGAGTTAATATAATGTGTAAAAGAGAATTCTTATTGAGTTCTTAATAGAATGTCAGTTTTATCAATAACTTTCATATCAGTCAACATATCAACACATCAGACTTCATAATTAGAGTCATCAAATGTAGTCACTGATTTGATGTCTAGTATATATTTGACTTTCTTCTGATATTTCTGCAACTCATTTCTCATAGTGTCTCTTTGTGCAGAGACAGGTGTGATGAGATGTTAAGTGATTTCAGTCACAGTTATTTAATTCTGTAGCATTATCTGTATAAGATTCATAAGATTGTCTGCAGTGCAATAGATAGATTAATTCAGATCATCATTAAAAGTCAGCATTTCAGAGATGAAGAATAGTGAAGAATTTAATGAGTTGAAATGAACAGATTCTGCAGATGAATGTTGACTCTGCTTTTCTTTATTCTGAAGTTTCTTCATTGTCTCATCATCAAATTTCATACTCTGATGAAAACTGATCTCAGTCTTATCTTGTAAGTCAGAAGCCTTCTTGTAATGAGTGATTATTCTATTAATAAGTTGTCTAGTGAAGTGTGTGATTCTGAACCTTGAGCTGAACTCTGAAGTAACAAATGTATCACTCATATTGAGGTGGCTCTACTTCTTCTAGATATGTAAAAAAAAAAAAGTGATATTCTTCACAATGAAGAACATGCTTTTTCAAAAATATAAAGTATATAAATCTACTGATCAGTAGATTCAGGGAAAATAAAATATCTCTAATAAAGAGTGAGAGTCTTTTTAAAAAAGATAAACTATCTGTGTTAAAAATGTTAATGCAATGTTCTAAAGAGAAAAACATGCCATTCAGACTATAATCTGTAGAATAGTTGAAGGTTGTATTAATAGATCTATCTACAAGAACATAATATAGTGGTGGGTCACGTGATCTAGTGGGATCGCTAACCGCAACGGCTGTAACGGTTAACATAATATAGTCAGAGAAGTTAGCTTTAATAACTATTTCATAATCAGAGTTAAATATCATTAGCAGAGAAGTATTAATGAATATTTTCTTCATCTGTATGAATGCAGCTTCAGTGTCTGCTAATTACTGAAATACTGAGTTCTTTCTAATGAGTTCTGTAAGTGATCTCACAATATCTGAGAAGTTTTGTATAAATCACTGATAGAAGTTAGTATTATTATTATTATTATTATTCTTTAATTATAGATGTATGCAGTCAGAGACTATAACATCTACCTGAGAACTAAAAGTTCTCACGGTTTTTTCTATATCTATAAAGTTAACTATTATACATTCATTAATTTCAGATATGCAAAATCAGAAAATTTCAGCTCAGAATATAAAAGCTGTTTACAAATTGCAGTATTTTAACATCTTCTGATACTTTGAAATCATTTGACAATATCATGATAAAAGAAAAGAGAACACAGTCTTAAAGATAGATACATTGAATAGATAGATAGAAAAGAATAGAAAGAAAAAAGTAAAGTAAATTAAAGAGAGACTGTAATAAAATAAATTATCAAAAGATAGTATATAGCTGTTTTAACAGACTATATCTGATCAATTTCCTTCTCTTCATATTCAGATATTTCTGAATTCAGTCATTTTCTTATAGCTGCTTAAGTTTCTGATAGAAAGTCTATTAAGTATTTAATTCCTGTCTCAGTTGAGAATAAGAATCTTATATTTAATTAATTTAGATTATACTTCTCTTTCAATCTGACTCTGAGACTATTGTATAATGCACAGTGTATTACAATATACTCAGAATTTTCATTTATATTGCAGAATAAGCATTCTATTGAATCAAATCTATTATCAAATCTTTGTATATAAGATTTGAAATAGCCATGTTCTAGTTTCAGCTGTATTATAGATGAGAATATTTTCTTTTTACATTTAATTGAACAAGACTTTCACTTGAGTTTTGTTTCAAATCTTGAATAATGTATGCTCTTCTTTTATTTCTACCAGCTTTCATTTCACTTATCTAAACAAGATTCTTTTATTTTTCTCTTTATAAAAGATCAGGACACAATTCTTTGAATAGATCTGCTTAATTCTGAACTCTTTTTTACAGCTGAATCTGTGACGGGCTGCGTCTGATCAATCATATAGACTATTCTGTTACACTCCACAGATTCCAACCACTTCATTCTTGAACACGTATGCTCTGATTCTCGGCCATTCTCAATCGCCGATCCTCGGCCGCTACGAACGCGCGTATATTCTCCCGCCCCGAAGCTCCATCATGTACACCATCACATACATGTATAAATATCCATCTCAATCACTGATTCTTGCACTTTCTCTTTCTTTTCTTCTCTAACATTTTTATCTTTGTTATATAAGACCTATCAATATTATACTGATCTATTCAGTGTAGGTCTCTTACACTATAAAAACATTCATCATCTTCTTATTAGAAAACAATTATTCATGCATTGTCTTCTTATCAGAAACAATTATTCATCAAGAGATATCTGAATACATAACAATGCATAAGAAATAGAGAAACAGTTAAACAAACACTGAGTTCTCAGATAAAAGCTGCTCATCAGTCACTCTGACTCTGTAATAAGATTCTATAAAGAGAATATCAGTGAAAGACTCAAGAGTTCTGACACTCAGATATATAAGATATTCATATAATTACACTTCTTTAAATTTCACAGATATCACACATCTGATAAACAATATAATCATATCTAATGATAATATGAGAGAATCTCTGAACATGAGCATAGACACAGTGTCACAGTGGCTCTGAGCAATGTTGAAACTACAATAATAATAAATAGCTGATATGCATATAACTCAACAATATCAATATAAAGAGATTTAATAACTAACTCATATAATTTCAACATCTACAGAATTAAATACAAAAGCACTGAAAGAATGCTTAGATACTTCTGTATATTTTAATACTTTTAATCTCACTCTCTACTCATCATGAAGAATGGAAATGCTCATGAAACTGAGTATAGATGAAGATGTCATCAGTTCATTAACTAATTAAGATTGATATATCAATGAATAATTAAAAGATCACATGAAACAGAAGTTTCATTCATGAATAAAAGCATGTAAATCAGTATTGTGAATATCTGATAATATTATAAAACATCTTAATATTCTGTTCTGAGACACTGTTATACAACAGAAAGTATTAGATTGACTACAGAGTGTCTGACAGAGAAATATTTCTCTTACAATATTTATCTCTAACTTCAACATCAAGATTCTAGAAGCAGGTGATTAATCTTGAGAGAATTGAATAAAGATTAGTATGCTTAAGAAGACATTAACTTTTGAACTCTTACAAGTTCTTATAAGTACAGACAAAGACCAGACTTATAAAGACTTCTGCACACAGCTTCAGATAATGAATGATTATCTTACTAAGCTCAAGAATATACAGAACAGTGATAGAAGATGTTATATCTCAGTGACTCATACACCTGCACTGAGGAATAACAATGATGCAGATGCTATGAATTGAGTAGACTTGAATATCTACACACAAGTAAGAGTCTCTGTCATTCAGACAGACTTTTAAGTCTCTGAGATCACTTCTGAAGAAGTTGCTGATTAATATTAATATGAAGTGTGTATTAACTGTAATCAATCAGAACACATTGCTTTCAACTGCAAATTAACCTATATATCTTTATACTTAAGAGAAAGATCAGCATCTTCTCATTCAAAGAATGAATCAGTGTCTGTCTGTGTCAATTATATTACATTAAAGAAAGATTCAGAAGATAACTATAAGAATGTCTCAGTGAAACAGGAAAAAGATTAGCTTCTATTCAAATTCATAAACAGAAGCTTGAAGAGATCAGATAATAATAATTTAAAGAGAAGATAACAATAAATGTAATTCTTATATCTACTGTGATTGATAACATGTATAATATGAAAGTTATGATAGATAGCAGTCTATGTTACTATGCAATGATAAAATTTTCAGTTGTAAGACATTATAATCTTCAGTGTATTTCTTTATCAAAACCTCAACTTCTCACAGAATTTGATGATTCAAAAGACATTTATATCTGTTACATGATGAAGCTGATCATAGATGTAAGAGAACATTAACATGAAGATGTCTATGCATATGAAGTTGATAATCTTGATTATAATCTTATATTAGAACTTGTCTGACTATCTGAACAAGACATCTTATTGAACACTTGAAACAGAAGCTTGATATTCTCTAATAATGATAGAATTCATGAAGATGACATTTATAAGACTATTAATCTGACACAGATCTCTGTCAATATCTATGAAATGCTCAGAAAAAGAAGTTGCTGAAAGAATCACTGATAGCAGAATTATATATCAATCTATTTCATCAGTCTGACTGATATCAAAAAGACTCTAGAAAAATTATCTCATATTATAATAACAGATTCTTGTATGAAACTCTCTTAATAATATCATGAATATCTAGATATCTTCTGATAAGATAATATTATAAACATACTTCTCTTACAAGATTCTGAAGTGAATCACAGTATTAAGTTAGAGAAAAAGAATGATAAGAATTCTGAACTATCATGAGACTCTCTTTATAATATATCTCAAGATATACTTCTTCTTCTTTAAAAGACACTCAATAATCTGTTGAATAAAGAATTTATACATATTAGCAACTCTTTCATCACAGTCTCTATTCTCTTTGCAAAGAAACCAGATAAAGAACTTTGATTCTGTATGAACTACTGAGATCTGAACAGATTGACAAAGAAAGATTGATATCTCTTATCTCTCATCAATAAAATCCTAGCATAGATCAGATAAGCTCAATAGTTTATAAAACTAGATATTATTACTGTGTTTCATAAGATTTATATCACTGAAGAAGATGAATGGCTTACAGCATTCTGAACACATTATAACCTTTTTAAATGAATAGTCACACTCTTTAAACTGACTAACACTCTCAGTATATTTCAGAAGTATATCAACTGAGTACTCTGAGATTTTCTTAATAAGTTTGTATCTACTTATCTAGATGACATTCTCATCTTCACTGATGAATTCAGAAAAGAATATCAAGAGTATGTATAAAAGATATTACAACAGCTACAAGAAGCAGAACTACTGATAGATATTGATAAGTATAATTTTAAAGTCAAGAGTATCAAGTATCTGGGTTTTATTATAGAAGCTGATAAGAGAATTCAAATGAATTCTGAGAAAGTCTCTGTCATTCTTGAATGAAAAGCTTCATATACTGTGAAAGATATATAAAGCTTCATCAGATTTACTAACTTCTATCAGCAATTTATATAAAACTTCTCAGATATTATGAGATCACTTACAGATCTCACTAAGAAAGACTCAGTATTTCAATAATCAGTGAATACTGAAGCTGTATTTACACAGATAAAGAAGATGTTCATTAATACTTCTTTACTGATAATATTTAATTCTGATTATGAGACAGTTATTGAAGCTGATTTCTCTGACTATGTGATAGAAGAAGTGATATTGTAATATAATAATGAAAATGTTCTACAATTATGTGTCTTTATATCTAAGAAACCGAGTCTCACTGAATGCAATTATGAGATCTATGATAAGAAACTTTTCATAATCATACACTGTTT